ATGGCAATCTTCCAAGTCAAAAAAGATTTGAAAACCAGTAGCCGAGAATTAAGATGATGGACTGGAAACAGAGAACAGTATGACCTTTAGGGAGTGGAGAGGTTTACTAGGTCTCCTGTTGGACAGCATAAGTAATTACTGCTCAAGATGATACAAGCAGTAGAGGATTTCGTTGACAGTTCTATGTTAGAGTTTATCCTAAAACGGTTTGAGGACATTGTGCCACTGTCTCTTCCTTCGATACTTTCGTTGCATTTCAGGATATGAAACGAACTTTGGTCAGAGCTCTGTGCAAAGTAATTTTGCCGTGTAGCAATATTTCGAAATTACATAGTACACACTGCGAAAGAGTTGTCACTGTTATGGGTATCGAAACCAGGCAATTTTTTTTAACCTCAATTTTTGGAGATTTAAACAACTGGTTCAAAAATTAGATCACAAAGAGCTAGCATTGGAGAAAATAGTTATCAAAGTTGTCAGTTCTTCAATACATCTGCATATTCTATGAATTTCTTTGGTTACACTTTCAGTCACTATTCACTTTTTTCTCGCAATCAAATTACAAAGAATAGAATTAAAAATTGAAAGGACTGGAAGGAGAGATGGAGAGATCAGTGAAATATTTAATGATAATGAGGGGATAAGTTTGAATTTTCCTCGATCTCATCGCTCTCTTTGATAATGAATTTGAAGTCAGTTGTGATGATACGGCGGTATGTATTCTGAACAGTGACAGGAAGATTCTCAGTTCTCGTCGTTATGCGAATCGCGAAATACAGAAAAGACTTGGAGGAATTTGCCCAGCTGTGGCGGCTGACCAGGTTCACTATTCCGGTCGACATACTTTGTATTTCTTGAACAATTTGAGAAACTCTCAAAAAAAACCAATCTTAAATTAAAAGGACGATTGTTCACATTTCGAAAGCGAGTTTAAGTTCACTGCCATTTAAAATATCCTTGTGTTTTGAAGCGAGATAGGTACAGGTATGTTATGCGTCAGTTAATTATTTGTATTTTCAACATTTATGGGAGATATTTGCAGCATCGTTCATACATCGATCTGTTTGTTGACGAATGCTTAAATGAAAGTCGTCTACGGCTTTGTAATTTGGATGGTGTAGCAGTAACAACAGAACCTGGATTAATCATTTCTCTTCGAGTTGGAGCTGAAAAAGCTGTCTCTTTAGCGAGGTATATTGTGATGTTTATAGATTTTTCTTGAGCAAAAGAGGCAATATAAATCTGCTGGACACATATTTGTTGCGTTTGACCGATACGTTCTTTTAAGACATTGAGAAACTTCGTCTCTAAAAATTTGCTGTAGTTTGCCAATGTTAGGAAAGGCTGCATACCAATTATACCAGTTCATCACATGCAAGCTCACGCAACAGTTGCTACTTTGGTGAAACGAATTGCTTATCCTTATGTCTCTATTATTATTTCTGGTGGACATTCAATAATAGCTGTAGCTAACGGACCGGATGAATTTGAAGTTCTACTGACCAGTACATCTGGTAGCCCTGGAGAATGCATGGATAAAATTAGTCGAGCGCTTAATTTTGAGGAACCGGAGCTACTTGGTTTACATCCAGGAGCTGCCCTGGAAGTGATGGCATCAAGGTGCGCTTAATGCTTTTTGTCGTGAACTTCACCATCTTGTAAATAAATTTCTGCAAACCAAACATTACTCTCCGCTTATGAGCTGCATTTAGATCATCTATGAATGGCTGCAAACGGTATTCAATCGATGTAGATAGATTTGCGAAAATGGCTTTGCATTTCAACTTTTCATGGATCAAAACCACATACTTGATTATGATTTCAAAGCAACAGATTTTAAATGTTCCTGATTTCTGTGCAAGCGTTCAGGTATTGACAGTTATAGATTTTACAATTCTATAGCTTTTTTTGCTTGGCGTTGTAAATGATGACTGCAGGAAATAATTTTTCAAGAAGCTTTTGGTAACTAGCATGCTTTGTTCAGGGAAAATGATTTCAGCATTCCATCGCAAAATACTTGGTCAGGAAACTAAATTGCTGTTTGCAGTATTTGAACGATTCCGACAAGGTTTGATTCCACTCAAATTACTAATTTTTATTGCATAGAGAAGTAATCATAAAATGGAGTTTTTTTTTGTTCAATATCAATGAACTAATCATTTCTATTTCACTTTAAGATTTTATCTTTTTTCAAATTAATTGGATTATTGCATAGTTGTAGATTCCGCCTCGTAATCGGTTGGTTTTCGCTTCTGGTGGTGTTGCTTCGAACAAGTATATATTAGCCAAACTTGATGATGCTTGCAAATCTCTTGGTTATAGTCTTTATGCTCCTTCGAAGTTCTATTGTTGCGACAATGCAGAAATGATAGCGTGGAATGGCATACAATTGCTAGCAAAGGGGCAAGTTATTCATATTTTGTGGTATGCAACTTGAAAGACAATAAAACATTCAAAAATGAATTTTTGATATCAGATAATTGGAAAATATGAACTGGATATTGGCCAAACCTTCGAATTTTTAGTTTGTACAATCAGTTAAAATTGCCGAATGCCGCACTGTTAGTTAAGCACTTTAGTTAAGTATCTCAAAGAGATTGATCTACCAGTTTCTTACTTTCTATCTTTCTGTTAGTATTCCTGATACATGTGCCACTTTTAGTTTCCAGTTATTTTCAAAACTTTTTTCAGAGCACCTTCCATTATATCACCTGAAAAAATACCTGCAAGTATTTTTGTTTCATCACGGTCTCCTGTTGGCGTCGATATTTCTCCACATCTTCGGAAATATCTCGGCATGCCTTGTGAAACATCAGTGAAAACGGCTGAGAGGCATAATACTTCACTTAAGTCATAAACTGTGGTGCAGTTATATTTTTTGGAATATAGGGACGACGAGATTTGTGATTAGAGGATTGTGTTAGCAAACGAAGATTCAATGATATCCTATTGTCCCAAGATGATTAAAGCAAAATGTAAACTTTGTCGTTAACTAAACTGAGGAATTGTTATAATCCAAGCTGCTGTTTATTGTGAAGAATAAATCTTTCACTAGGAAAAATGAACAGTATGCGTAGATTTCACTATGCATAAGGTTTTTAGTAACTAAGAAGAAAATGTACTTGAATAATAAAATTGAACTCAAAGTTTCTCCATAATTAGAAATTCTTGAAATCAAGCTTAATACTTATGAAGGTATTATAAGGCACTTAGTTTCAATCGAATTATATTTTTTGAGAACCGAAGTGAGATCGATAATACAAACATCAAAAGAATACAAAAACCTCATACAAGATGCATACAAAAGAAAATGAGTGCTTATGGCGATTAAATAGTAATAATTTGAATGTGTCAGTTGAAAAGCAAAAATTAGATAATTACACCTGATTTAAATCTGGTTTTTGCATTGCACAATTTATGAAATGGGACAGACAGTTTCATGACAAAGCATAAGCTTGAACAACGAAAATTAACTGCTCTCTCATATTTTCGAAATCGAGCTCAGTTTATTGGGATTAATCCGGAAAAGTGATGTCATTCCTCGCCGACCTCCTTTCTCGATTTGAAATTTTAAAGTCGAGTTTAATAAGCATCTTTCATAGAATTTCAAAAATTTCCGATCAACGAACATGAAGTAGATATAAATTACCGAACACACAGAAAAAGTGAGAGAAAAAATTATTAGATGCATTGTTCTGATATATAAGCGTATACAAAGATACAAAAAGCAGCAATAACATGGGTTATAGCCGTACTTTAATGTACAGCAGCAGTTGCATTTTGATGGGATCATTTGGTTTAACTATTAAGCAGCCAAATCCGTGATAATTGATGATGATGCTGACGGGCACAGGACTGAAATAATCTATAATGAACGATTAATTTATCATTTCATTAACCATCCGCTAAAAAATATATATTAGTATCTTTGTTGTCTTTCATCATCTTGAGAGCGAAAATTTTAGAGAACTATTTTGCACGGAATGCTCCTTTCTATTTGAAATTCTCCAACCCATCTTAAATTTATCAAGAAATTTAAGAAGAATTTATAGTATTAAAAGGAAATCAAATTTTTTGGAAAAAAATTAATCAATTATAAAATAATTTTGAGCATTTCTGCTCAAAATAATTCTGTAACTGATTCAAGAATATGAAATTTTATATCCGGACGAAACTGTTACCAGTTAAGATATAGTTAGTGAGCATGCTTGGCACAGCGGGACTATCTTCATCAATTGCTCGCAACACTGAAATTTTATATTCTCCAATTAAACTAAAGTAATATTGCTTTTAACAACCATTACAATTTAGACTAAGCTATCAGTTCAACCAATATCAGACCGTCGAAAATTTTTACCATAGCTAATAAAATTACTTTTAAAAAAGTTGTACGCGGCTACAAGCAACAAACAGCAGTGTCATTACTAGAAGACTGAACAGTCGTTGAGAGTAATACTTAATTTTAACAATTAGAAAATGGAAAAAATAAAAACTAAAATAAAATGAAAGAAAAAACATTTAATAAGCGCCATCAATGTGTTCATGTCCACGGAAAGGCGATTTTCGTCGTACGGAATTGTCGCTGTCATATACTAAAAAATAATATTGTAAATTTTAATAATTTCTTTCAAACTACGAAAATAACAAGTTCTTAAATAGTGAGTTTTACAACATCTCGATACAATTGTATTTGGCATGCATTTTCTGTCAGATTCGAAATGATCACATCGTGATCGTCTTAAATCAATGATCTGAAGCGAGACAATTCTCATAGAAATGAAACTATAATCATCGTGTAAAGTTATACAAAAATTAATGCCTTATAATAGTAACAAGAAAATAGCGAAGTAAATGCATCTTCTTCATGACCAGAATGAATATGATGTCAAATTATAAAAAAGCATAAAATTACATTAAAATATCTATTTCATTTAAAATAAAGGTAAAGAATTTTAATTTGTAAATTCATAAATTCGACTAAAACTGTAACACGAAATGCTTGCATCAAATTCTATTCTAAATGTAATTTTTAACCTGTGGTAATTGTGAAGGGTCAGTTTTCTGCGGTTTACGCTTTCGCTCATTGGTGAAATGTCTCCGTCGATTTTGTATGGATAAAAGCAATGATATAAATGTATTTTTCATTTCCTTCTCATATTCTAACTCATCACGATGGGCCAATTGCTCCACCAAACTATCATTATAGACCTGAAGAAAATAAATAAATAAATAAATAATACTAAACGAAGAAAACATGTGAAATTTCTAACAGGAATGCATGATATTATCTAATTATGCTTTCAGAAAGAGCTAAAATTTTAATATGTTTTGAAAATGGACCAATACTTCTATAGATGTAGTATCCCTTAATAAAACATTAATTTTTTTATCATAATAAAATCATAAAATCTTATATATGCCTTACAAATTAGCTTTACATAAAACAAAATTTTTACTTGTATGAGTTGTTCCATTTCAGCACTCAGAGCAAGCAATCTGCTATAGGTAAATGATTCCAAATCTACAATTTTAAATATTCAAATTACAAAATGGATAATCTAAGCGGAAGAACTTTTAGGAAAGGAAATTCCAAAAAAGCACAGATAAAAAATTAAACAATAAAGAGAAGAGGAATGAGTCATCAGGAATTTAAATACCACATAAAAATGGATTCCACAATGACGACAAAAGATTAAGAATGATGATTAATAATTTCCCTTCCCTTTTTTTTTCAAACCATCTTTTTTCAAAAAGTGACAGAGACTAAGACTTTTAAAGCAACGATATTGACAAATAGTAAGTACACGCGAGCACCGAAAGGCATGCAAGGAAAGAGCATGCTTTGACGAATTTTGCATTCGATAAACTCAGTAAAGAAACGTTCCATTCTTAAGCTGAATGCTTTCTAAAATCAGTCCAAAATTCATCACTACTATTGATTGAAGTTTTTTGCTAGATTTGAAAAAAATTGATTTGCTTCCAGAAAAAAACATGTAGCAAAATAAATGCTTTCTATACTCGTTCACAACAGTCACAAGTATATCTCATAAGTATATCTCAAAAGTACTTACCTTCCAATCCTGAAAAATGTTAAATAATCTATTATTAGCAGTCAGAAATTCCTAGAAAATACATATCGAGAAAACTTAAAATACTTTGAAAATTTCATTAAATAAAAATTACAATACTCATCTATTTACCATGTCTATTCAAATGTATAAATCCGGGATGAATTTGGCAAGATTTACGTAAGTGCGCTTCATTTACATGATTTCGTTTAAATAAAATTTGATCTCGCATTCTTACATGAAGACTAGTTCAAACTAAAAGTAACATTTTTACTTACTTTCTGAATTCGACGTAATTGCAACGGCTTGTCGCAATTTGATATCCATTTCGTATTGTACATTTGGTAATGGTGAACGTATCGACGAATACATACTGTCCATCGATTCCATCGTACGATCAGTCATTACCGACCCAGAAAAATCACACGACTGAAAATTATTAATGAACCTCCGTTATTTCTATAACAGCTATGCTGAACATATTTTAGACTTTTCATTCTATTAATTCAACAGCGGATGAAATATTACAAAATTAACCTGAAGCATTTGATCAATTTCTTCGATCACCTGATCAGCAGTTTGTGGAGGTGACTCTGACAAAGGACCACGCTGACTGATCAATTGATGCATATCTAATGCACTTCTCAGGTCCTCATCTTCTTCTGATAAATCAATACCGGGATCACTGTTTTCCTGAAAAATAACAATTTAAGTATTTTTAGTTTCAAATTTTAAGTGAAATATGAACTTCTTCTCACAACACATATTAGATCTCTGGAAGTTTTCAAAGTTTTTTGAATTCAATGCTGAAATTCATTTCAAAAAAAATTAAATATAAAAAACGAACAATAAAGTTGAATTTTTCGATTCAACTTTATTCCATTTTTTTCAACTTCCGACTAGAAACTAACATATTCCATTTTTCAACTTCTCGACTAATTTTTTTCTAATGATGACATTCCAATTAATGAATCAGAAATAAAATGCTTCTTCCATGACTGTTTTAACTGTTAATTAATAACGGATAATCAGGTTAAAAACCGCTTCCCACTTCTAAAACGTTTGTAACTTAAATTTTACAGTCAAATGAGTTTTTTTTCTTTAACAGTATGAAATCAATACTCACTTTGTTTCGCTGAATAAAGTCAACATCAGCAGGATTTTTCGGTAATCTTTGATAAGGAAAATTATCATTAAGAGGGAAACTGGGAACAGCAGTGGCTCCAACACAAGAGAAGAAATTCACAGCAGTGATAGTAAACTGATGGCACATCGATAAGAGAAATTATGAAAATTTATCCTTCGTTTGATACCAATGAAAACCAAATTGAAAACGCTAAAAGCTCTCTTCTTTCAGAACTAATCCAACAGAAAGAATAAAACCTGAGTAAACATTAATTTCTTTCGTATTTGAAGATGAAATTCAGAATTAAAATCTTTATTTTTTTCCTCTAGTGAAAGATAAATAATGAAAAAGGAGAAGAGAAAAAAGAGAGCAAAAAACAAACAGAATTATAGCTTAATAAAATCTATATTTTGAAAAAAATTCTTAAAAGGTCTCTCTTCAGTTGCATTGCGATTACAAGTGTCAAATGACGTGATCAATTTTAGCATATACTCCAACAAATTTATCATTTCCCATACTTACCACTAATCATTCTCATATATCTTTTTCTTTCTTCCTCCTAATTTCAATTTTTGTCAAATGAAAGAGAAAAGCATGAAAGGCTTTATGATGAATTCAATGATGCTACAACCATATTAAATGATTAAAAGAATAATGATGTTTACAGTCTAACAATCGTTATTAGTGATGAATTTACAAGAGTAGTAAACTTGGATGATAGGTTCATCAATACATTTACTTTATCTGCTATTTTTTTCAGAATAGAGCTAAAAAATCCCGTATCTCTCCGTAAAAACTTCCAGAATATATTTCGTGTCTTATGAAAACCTAGTCATTATTGAGTTGAATACGATGATCTTACAAGAATCGACAAACAATTACAAATGAATATAAAAGGAATGGAATTAAAATATGATGAATTGATTATTAATACTGTGCGAATTTTTTCCACTCTGGGAATATATGAAAATGTTTGGGATAACTTTCTAATAATATTAAATGAATTCACTTTTCTCATACAATTTATATGAGACAGACCTAGAGAAAGAGCGGGCATTTCTTTGTGCTTTATCGAATTTCTGCCTATCAAAATTTTCTTCACGGCTCTTTTTTGCTTTGAAAAGGCTTTCTGCATTTGTGATGGAAAGAGAAAAAACCTTTCCCTCCCTTTCTCACTCTCTCTCTCTCTGAAAATTATATGAGAGAAAGATAGATTGTCTGAAGCATGCCTGAATTCGTCCTAAGCATGACCAACTGAAGTCATATCCGAGTTGCTAACAAATGAATATATATTTTTCTCAACTGCATTGGAAACTTCTCTCTTCCCAATTTTTCAGCTACCAAATAAGTTGCATAGTCTGCTGCTCTATAAGGAGTGAATTTCAAAACTCTGTAGAAATTATTCATCTAAATGTGGTTGAAAGATGACAGTTTGCTGAACGGCTATTATAGAATTTTCTTTTAATACTTCAGGGAAAGCTACATTCTCCAATTCTCTTAGAATTACTTCTTGAAGTGATTCAATTATTAAAATTAGTTATTAATCATTTATTTCAAGTTATCTTCTGCTCTATCTTTCATATTCCTTTTTTTCCTCTTGATTCAAAAAGAAGAAAAAAGAATTTTGCATTAAATTTAATAAAATTCAACGGGATGTCTCAGTGATCTAAAAACTTAGACTGGAAGGAATTTTGAATTTGAAAAACCATTTTAAAAATTCCATTATCCTTGACAAGCATATATTTGCAGTTCTGATGCGAGAATTATCATCTCTGTTGTATTTTGGGTTGATAATAAATGGAACCTTGTGTGGCTGAAGGTCAAGAGCAGGAAGTTGCAGCCGCCTTGTTTGTGTCTTCGAGAAATCAAGTGGAGGCATATTGCCAAAATTTCCTGTTAAAGTCCACCAAATTCTGAAAAAAAATAATGCCATTATTTCTTGATTTAATTTTGCTCAAATACAAAATCATAATTGAAATGGATAACGCTATTACTGAATTATTCATAGTATTCGCATAGCAAATGTTTCTATGTAATCATACTTAGAACTGTTTTGATGAATGTGACACAAATAGCAATGTCTTGAAAACTTCCCGAAAGCCAGAGTAATTTGTGATTCTCAGTCTTAAATTTCATTTGTATGGAAAAAATAATAATTTACCACAATTTTTTGAGAAAATTGAGCAAAATTTTAAAACGTCTTTCAGCAAACTCATTTGTGCATAAAACATTTACTTAAAATGTTGCATCCTTTAGAAAAAAATTCAATCATAGCTACTGAATGAAAATTAACTGATTTTATCATTGTTCTAATTAGGAGATACAATAACAATCTTAAGCGAAAACAATTCACTCAGTGTAAGAATTCCACCAATTATCTTCCGTTTCAGGTTTAAGCATCTTTATAATATTCAAAATCGATGAAGCTCCAAAGATTCATATAAAATAAATTTGAAGAGCTCTTCTTCCATAAAAAATATCTTATGAAATGCTGAAATTTCTTTCTTCCTTTGTATTAACAGAGAAATTTTCACATAAGAAAATGAGATTTGCAGTGAGAATAATAAATTTGTTGCAATAAGAGAGAAAACTCTGTCTATGTTTTCCACACATTAAGAAAAAAGTAGAAATTAGTGAAAAAATTCTCATATATCTGTTTAAAAGAGCAAGTGCACAGATTAAAAAGTATTTATTGATTATCAATATATGAGCTTGAATGAATGAAAACAGTACAAGAAACCTCCTTCTGTCAAGTAATTTTGTCTTTATTTTGATATCACAGTTTAATAAAAACGGCACGAATTCCTAATTTTGAATTTATTTCACCACAGCAATCTATAAGAGGTGATAGTTTGCTACAGTATATTTCTAAAGAAGAAAAATTATGTTTTTAAAAGTGATGTCCACATTTATGATAAAATGATGGGTGAATGTTGTGCTAGAAAATAAAAAAAGTGCTAACTGGCTTTCAGACATGATTTCATCTTGTGAGCGCACTTGTATAGGTGCTATCTCTTCGGTGGTCTTATTAAAATCCTTGAAGCAATGTGAGATTTTTTGATCAAATGTTCCGACCAGATCTTCCAAACTACCCGATAAACTTTCCGGATCGAAATTTTCATCGAAATTGTTCTCGCAATCACTGGTCCTGTAACAAGAATAGTAGATGAAAAATATCGAGTAGCTGAACTTACTACCTCCACCTCTCTCTCTCTAAAAATTTGAAGTTTTCAATGCTCTCAATTGAATTTTGAATTTCCAGCTTTGCTAGAGAAACAGATTTTTCTTGAATTTTTCTGCACATTAACATTCCCATATTTTTTGCAATCTAAGGAATGGAAAACTTTATTCGAAAATGAAAAATGTTAGTTTGCAATGATTAATTGCATAAATTATTCCCAAAAAAAATACAAATCTTTTCCTTGTCAAAAAAATCAACCATTACATTTGTTTTAAGAAAATTTATTTTGTTCCTAAACTTCAGCAGATCATTGATCAGCAGAGAATCTTTATGGGAAAAATACAAGCTGCAATCAAAGGGATGGAATATGGTTGAAAGAAGTATTGACTGAGTATGGTAGTAAATATTTTCAGAGACTTCAAGTTAGCTAAGAAGTTAATGTGTCAACAAGCTAAAACTGACACAATTTTTAATTATCATGCACAATCTGAAAATGAATGATGAATAACTTACATTATATTCTCAAAAATATCTCATCAATCTTCCAAAATTAACTAATCTAATTTCATATTTCAACAAGCACACGAAGATGACTTTTTACATATCCTAACAATGTCGACCCCAATAATTATGCTGCATTGCTCTTTGATCCAAGAAAAATCCTGAAAATCATCATTTGGACATCGCATGCATCAGATCACCAATGATTAATGATGATATGAATCGAGCATCATTAATCATTAATAATAACTTTATATTATTGTCATTCATTACCAAGCCCTTATCACTGTAGCTATCAGCTGTTTCAAAATGTTGCTTAAAAGATATTATGTGAAGCTTAGATTTCTGCATCCATTCATCCTGATTTCATTTTTCATCATTTCTCTCAGGCTTCTTGTAATTTAATAAATTGAAAGATAACAGAAGAAGGAGATGAACAAAAGAAAAAGTGAGAATTGAAAGACAAGAAGAGATATATTTGACATGCAAATATGTGTAATCCCGGAAGATTCATCTCCTTTTTCCACTAAGTTAAACGTTTTTTTTTATGTCTCGCAGGTTTCCAAGTCGGCACTTTTTGAATATTTGATGAAGAAAGAAGAAATGATGAGAGCTGATGATAAGAGAAATAGGTAAAGGAAAAGAAAGAATATATCTATCAGTGATAGACGGCTGAATTCAGAATTCTCAAATTTCTAAATTTAAAAATAAGTGTAAGTCTCATCATTCACATAATCTCTTCACAGAGCGAAAATTTGTCAAATATATATTGTTGTATTTTCCGTGTATATTTCTGTGTAATAATTATCACTCCTATTACACATTAATATCTTTTCACATTGTGGAATAATTTCACACTGTAAATATTATATCAATATTAATACTTATATCCAATGGGATATTACTTTATCCCTTTGTTTTCTTCAATTTCATTCATTGAAAAATGAAATGAAGGAAGGGGAAAGGAAGGGATCAGGTGACAGAATTAAATGCTATGGTCAAATTAATTAAAGTCAAATTAAAACAAATTAGTTTGATGGAAGAAAGAATTTTGTAAACTGAAGTGAACTGGCGAAATCGTTCGAATCACTGGCCAACAACTTTAGTTTGTAATGATTTCGAACATATTGAAAATTTATAAAGGCAAAGAAAAATGTGGCTAAATTGATTGGGCAAGAGGAATGCCATAAAAGAGATGAGTTAAAAAAGAATGAATAGGCCTCCATCATTTAGCCATAATGACATGCCTTTCATACATATATACAACTGCATTATCCCTTTCATGTTTATTTATCTATTCATTTGTCCTTATTCTATCCTACTTTAATTAGAATTTATTTTAAAAAAAAGGCCCAAAGTATGAGATAAAAATCGATACCGTTATATAGGAAATATAAGCACCTCATCTAAAGATTTTCATTTCTCATTCACATTAGCACTAATTTAAACATTTCAACGAAATCAATAATTTTGCCATTATCTTTGCTAGCATCAAATAATTATAGAATGATCGAAAAACTGTTTGAAATGTAAAAGATGAATAACAACAAATTCTAAACCCTTAGCTGACACTATGTAGAACATTGATTTTTTGACAGCTCTCTAATTTAAACCTCCACTAATATTCTTTCCATTATTTACATATTTATTTATTGCAAGTTATTATTCCTATTAATTCCCTCATAACATAAATTCAATGACATGCTTGACAGCAAATTCCGATCATCGATCACAATTTTTAGCGTGAAAAACATATACTGGAGAAAAAAATATTTGAGGTTTTAAACAAGTAAATAGTAAAATGATTTTTTAAGTTTTTATTTAAAAACCTCTGTTCCTCTGTTCGTGTAAGAATAGTGAGTGTGCAAGAAGGAAAATACGGGAACGGTTGAATATGAAATGACATTGAACTTTAGCACTAACTAAGATTCATATCTTAAATTGGAGACAGTTTTTCTGGTGAGAAATTGGAAAAAAAAGAAGGAAATAAAAAAAAATACAAAAAACTTAAATGAATGGTCTTGTCTTTTTCAACTGAAACAGAAAGATTAATGGACGCACTGAAAATTGAAATTCATAATATTTTTGTCCCAAATATGAAAAATATGATCAAAATGTATAGCTTGTCCGCCGATTGTCGTAGAGAACGGACAATGGAATTTTAATTCTTGAAATGATCAATTTGAGAGTAAAAGCGTAATGAGGGGAACGAGTCTAATGTTCATCGTTTCATCATTTATTTCTAAGTGAAAATGTCAAAATTTCTCAATCTCTTTATGAATCGGTAATTCCGAATGTCGTCTATTTGGTTTTTCTTTTGAGGATTGCAATATTGCTATGAACTGCTCAACAGAACAAAAGTATGATGATCGACGAGTGATAGTGAAGCAAACTTATTTCATCCAAAAATATAATTGTCATAAAAGGGCATAGAAAAAAAAAATGCAAATGTTGCAAACACGAGGTGATAAATAAGAGAAAGAGAGTCTTAGATTTCATCAAATTTCAGAGGTTTTTATAATTAAACTCATCAAATGCATACACTCTTATCAGTGAATTTTATTTAAAAAAAAATCTCAATTTCATATTAATGGTAGGATATCCGAAAGTAACATCAACCAATACTAAACTGTGCGGATAAATAGAAAATTTGAAGTTGGAATGGCTGAGAAGAGATAGTGAGATAAGATTTAGAGTGAGAGAATGGCCAAAATTTTGAAAAAGAAAAAAAAAAGTGTAAAGGAAAACAAAACTAATTGATTATCTGGTAATATAATTGAATTGTTTGACAATATCGATAAAGAAAATGATTAGTGACAGATTAAAATTTCTTGCCTGTTCAATGTGCCATAATTTTAATGCCTATTATTTCAATAAAAAAATCAAACAAATCTGCTTCTGTTTATAAATGTCGATTTTGTTTGCCTCTAGCATTTTTGCTTCCATTTTATATACCATTAAATTTGAAGTAACAAAAAAAGATAGAAACGGTAATTTTTGAGCAAAAATTTAAGAAAAATTGAAGATCCAATTACTATTCCCATCATTTAGCTTGAATGGGAAAACGGTTGGAATACGAGAAAATACGAAATTTGGAAAAAAATGGTGGGTTGCTTATGAAGAAATGAGAATTAAAATACATGATAACTCATTTCATAATATGAATTAAGGGACAGAAAATATAACATGAAAAGAGCACTGCTTGCGTTTCACTCTCACAACTATTTTACAATTTTACTGCGCCATGAATATAAAAAAATTTGATTTTTTTAAAAAAAAAATATGTAGTAAATAAAACAAATAACAGATAAGAGAGAATTTTAGAACAAACAATTTAGACAGTTAATGAAACTTCACTGAAGATTTTCCTCACTATTGGATTAATACATCATTTCGGGAAACCTTTCTTGTTAAATCAAACTGTTTCTCTCTCTTTCTCTTTCTCCCCCTCTCTTTTTCTCTCTTTTTGTCTGCAAAACATTCAAAATGACATAACAATCAGAAATGTTCGGCAAATTAGTCGGGAATGAAATTGAAATGATAAAAATAAAAAATAAAAAAGAGCGAATAAAATACAAAAGTGCACTTACGATTGTTGCGATGCCGCCTTGATGAAGTCGATGTCATCTTCGAGATGAGCCAGCGGTACTTCCGGCACACTACAGTTTATAGCGTCACCCATTCCTGTACCCATTACCATTAAGGATATCAATTGTACAGAAGCGGAATGAAATTATACCGGAAACTGAAAATAAGAATAGAATAAAAAAATGTATATATTGTGATGCTTGGGACGGCTATTGTCACCTTTCAGTACTTCTTTATTGGTAGCAATCCTAGCAGGCTAGCACTGCTCTCTCCTTCCCATCAGATGAATCGTTGCGAAGCAACTCAACTAACCCCAAAAATCAATCATTCTTTCTCGAACTATTTGCATCCCCTAAACACATATGACACACATACATGCAGGGACAAACAGACAGACAGACAGAGAGACACAGAGACAGACAGAGAGACACAGAGACAGGGATATGTGTGATGGATGTATGGGCATCATAGCCTAATACTACTACTTCCTCTGTTATCTGTGGTGAGATATGAGGTTGACCCTTTCCATTTCCTCAAAGGTTGACATTCAGTCAGTCAGTCATTTCCTTTCATCAATAAAAATAACCAAATGGCTGCCAAATGCTTCCTTTCATTTCTCGGGAAATATCATCTATCATAGCACAACAAATTTCTACACATCTCAGAGCCTCTCTTTCCTTAACCTTATCATTCCTTCATCAAATCCTACTATATACTTTAAATATTCCGGAAAATGATAACATAACGTAGACACCTCATTGTACATCCAACTACAAAACTCATACAAATCTATGATAGTAACCTTTGAAGCACTCCTACAAATAAAGTTATCTCTTTTATTCATTTTCAATCTGTAGGAAATCAGATAAAATTATTAAACTGTATGGAAATGAAAATAAATAAGGAAAAATTTGGTTAGAAATCTGGCGGATGAATTCATCTTGCATCACAATTATTCTGTGTTGTACTGAGGAAATATGAACGATAGACAATTACAATCATTTGATGAAAGAAAAAATTCAATCAATCACTGTGCAATTTTAGGGAACTGAAATAGTGAAATAAGTACAGTACTAACAGCAATCAACTTCATTCTAAAATTGATTGATGTGCTGTCATAATCGGCATATTTCTCTTAATTAATTATTTGTTCCGAAAATTTCCCATTATGTCAGGCATTTTCTTAGCAGAATAAACGATTAATTGCTTAACACAGACAATAGTAAAAAATTGAAAAAATAAATTAGAATTCAAAACTATTATTAATCATTAATTTCATTCATTCAAATCATTATAGAATTACGAATAGTGCTGTCATTAAAGAAATGTATGAATTTTTTTAATGTATATCTGTATATCTTTAATGTATATATTGTGTGTATTTTTTTCAGGAGCACTGATAGAATCAGTTAAACAACGAAGGATTAAATTAGATGATTGCTGATCATCCGTTTAATTTTTTCCACCCGGAGCTTTCCTATAAACTATTTTCCCAGCTATACGAACATTTGAAATTTACCGTAATGATCAATTAGCCTAAGAATCGTTATCTGAATATCATCTTATCACTGCTACACTCATACTTGATCGGCGCATTGTCAAATTCTTTGAAGGTATTTTCACATCATTCCATCAGTTTACTTGAATGTTGTTGTTCATGAAGTTCATTAAAATTAGAATCAGAAATTCCAATTCCCATTGACCAAAGACAGTATTTCGTTTCAACTGATATGTATTTGTAAGCTACTAAAAAACCTAAAAATCCGACAACTCCTTTTGTTAACAATGATGATGTACTGTTTTTTTTTTTGTCGTCGAATGATAAGCAAATCAGATTTATTTTTTTTGATATCACCAAATTAAACAGTGCTCGGACTAATTAACTAATAACACATTCTAACAACAAGAATGAATAAAATATTTGATCAAGTCTTGCAAATAATTTAAACAAAAAGATGTGAAGAAGGAAAAACTTCTACGAGAAGTTCTCAGAGTACGATACTGTTATAATTACAAGTAATTATGACAGTATCAGTTGCTTATTTTGTTGTTTAGAAAGTATAACTTATGTAACGATTACCGGTATTATAACGAAGAGATACATTGGATATTCAGTAAGAATCATTGGATAGGATAGGTGGGATAATTGATGCAATGAGATGTAGGGGAATTACACGTATTTCGAGATTCTTTTGAGAGTAAGGGAAAGAGTCGATGGAAGAAACACTCTTCACAACTGCTTCTTTCAGTCACTCCACTTTCATCTTAACACTCCCATTCTTTTCATTCAATTTCCAAAAGCGTTTTTACTAAATTTCCTCCTTCCACTGAAATTTTCTTTCATTGCAAATTTTGTATGGCTTGAAGTGATGTACTGTAATGAGTACAATGATTGATGACAGTCAGAACTGTTTCTGAGCTAATTTGCAAATTTAGGAAGGACAAGGGATAACTTATGAACATACTATTCCATTAATTTGATTGCAATCTAAAAATTTGCATTTAACAACCTTCAAACGAACTATTCTGAAGTCGAAGTTTATAGTGCATTGGTTGGATGATACATGAAATTTCATTTAAACTTCGTTGGAAAGAATGATGAAGGAGAAAGGGGACGGATGTGTATTTTCGAATTCTCAGTGGTGGTTTACTCATCAACATCAAATTACTCGTATTCATCATCTTAATAGAAAAAAATTCGTGATAATTTGCATTTGAATCGTCTACATTTATGAATTCACCCCCAGTTCTCCAATTTCAATCGTAAAATTGACTGGCGTAGAGTTAAATAAAGCTGAAAGACTGCGCTAGCCGGCTAGGGGATGAGGATGTGTAACCGAGATCCAGATAGAAAATTGATGAAATAAAGATTGCTACCAGTCTTGAACTCCTATATTTCTAGCAGATACGTCTTTTATTTGCAAATACGTTTTGAAGATACTGAATTCCTCACTTTTTTCATTCGTAACGCATATATTTTTGGACGAAAAAAGAAATTAGTTTTTCAGTTATGGCTACTGCTGAAGAGCGTAAGCTTGAACTCGAACGTAAGAAGCAAAAATTGGCTGAAATCCGAGAGGAGAAAAGACGTCGAGAAGAAGAACGACGACGGAATTTGCTGAAAAATGCAAATCTTGAAAACGGAACAGGTTTTTTTTTTTGCTTTTATTGACCTTGTGCAAAATTATTTTATCCCGTATAATTTCTCTTAATTTCTTTATCGCAGATTGAGTAATCGCTTATATTCTCTGCCATTTTTTATTCATTTCCTAGCTTTCCTCCTATTTTTAGATATTGTGTTGAACATTGTTTGCAAAAGTGCAAACGGCAAAGGATTTTTACAGTTAGTTAACAGATCAAATTTTCCATGTGATCCTACCTTGGTTCTTGCTTTTCAGTGGGCGATTTGCCGAAAATATTTTCGCAGAAAGATCTAGAACAGATCCTTGAACCATTAGGAATATCTGCCCAACCTCAAATCGAGCGTTCCGTTACTCCAAATAACAGTGATCATCGTGCAGTGGTAAAAACCTTTTTTCGCCTCTACCATATTTTTCAGGAGAACAGTGACTGTGAGTTACAATGTGAGTTTAGAATCTCTTCTTTCTGGTAGTCATTTTTTCCACTTTTTTTATAAACTGAAGTAGTTTTATGATGTCGTCCACTGTTGCTTACTTTTTAGGATGGAATTGGACACAATCAGACACATTCATCCGTTCCCAGGATACAAAAACTTGCTCTCTGTGAAACACAGATGATTTCAGTACCACCTAAGGATGCTGTACGATTTTTTTTTGGTTCATTTCAATGCCGAGTTACATGATACTTTCAATTTATCTTGCAACTCTGTATTCTCTTATATTCATTATGTAACGCTTCCAAAAAACCAATAACTTTTGTTGACACTGACCGCTTTAAAATACTGCGAAGAAGATCTGATGTAAAATATTATTGCAAAGAACGATGTTTTCAGGCCAGTTATTGCAAAACAACACAAACTGATGACGATCGAGTATCAGCGGGGGAATTTAGTTTAGGTTCTCAGGAATTCGATTATGATGAAGAAATGACGATGTTGGATAAACATTTAGAAATCAATTTTGATGAATCCCCTACACGAGAAATTGCGAATATTTTGCCTAATTTTAATTTTGGCGTGCGTCAGCATCAAGAAGTAAATTATATTTGAATTTAACAGTTAAGATCATGCAAGAGTTATACTGAATATGCATCAATTTTGAGTTTTATAGCCTGGTGAAGAAAAGAAAGAGGAGGAAACGAAAATCCCAGATCTGAGTGAAGAAGAAAAATTGCAAATTCTCAGCAGTCAAAAATTTCAGCAGTTTTTTGATTATAGCTCGCGCATCATGGAGCGGCAGTTAGCTGAAGAGGTTGGCAACGTTTAGTTCCAAGATAATGCTTTGGGATGATACTTAATCTGTAATCAGTGTGTTTTACTTCTATGAAATACTCTTGTACTTTGTAACAAAATAATTTTAGGAAGTGGTTAACATATTTCATGGAATGTTTTTCAACTTGTTCGTATCTAAATTTTAATTGGTTTATGTTAGCTGGCTTTCTTTTAATAATCCTTGTTAATACATTATACTGTTTTCATTTTGCTTATTTTTTTCAGGTTGACATCTTCATCGATTACTCACGTGACGAAGCTATGGATGAAAAAGCCAATAGCGGTGAAAAGTTGGTGTTTGCTAGAAAATTTGTGGACGAGAAATGGAGCGCAGGAAGGTGAGTGTTTTGCTGTTATTATGATGCTAAAATATTCAGCGCATCGTTCTTCATGAAGCACAACTTAGTTCTTCGTAGTCGTATGTTTGAAAATTTAGGTTTTTTTTTTGTTAAACTGGGGCAAAAGTTGTCTTTTTATTGAATTTATCCTTAATTTTTAGAGCTGTAACAGGAATTGATCACTGTGTGCAACACCCGGAATTGTTTGCTGTTTCTTATGATCAGAATCCCGATTCGCCGCTTGATCCCATTGGAGTAGTACAAGTGTGGAGTTGTCGTTTCAAAAAGCCAACTGCTGAGTAAGAATGATGTTAAAAACAGAAATTTTTTTTACAAGTCAAGTGA